ACACGTCATCGCACATCATAACAACGTTTTGCATGCCTGTCTTATTCTGGTCAGCCCTATGTCGAGGTGAGAATAATTGTCCTGATAATCCGGTGCTATTGGCACCAATACGATTTTCTTGCAAACGTATAAGACTATTGGTTTACCATTGCCTGAATAAGTCATAAATCAAGCCTGCCGTCACGTAGCCTTGTGTGTCCCCCAAATCCGGTATCGCATAGTAAAATACGATTTCCGCCATATCGTGTCCAAAATATAGCTTTTTATGCCTGAATGTGATTTGAACTAACCATATGTTTACATGACAAGGTGTTAACTGCTTATCCGTATCGGTACAGTCCAATACGATGTACACACCGTCGTGCATCATAACAACGTTTTGCATGCCTATGTCTTATACTTGTCAGCTCTATGTCGAGGTGGAAATAATTGTCCTGTTAATCCGATATAATTTAATTAGTATGATTTACCTGCAACCGTGTTCGATAATTTCTTTTCCATTGCATGTATAAGTCATAAAACAAGCATTCCGTCATGTGGCCTTGTATGTCCCCCAAATCCGGTATCGCACAGTAAAATACAATTTTCACCATATCGTGTCCAGAATATCGCTTTTCATGATGGTATGTGATACGTATGAACCATATGACAACATCGCAAGGTCTGAACTGCTTATCCGTTACGGTACATTCCAATACGATGCACACGCCATCGTGCATCGTAAATACGTTTTGGATGCCTATGTCTTATATTTGTGAGCCCTATGTCAAGGTGGTAATAATTGTCCTGTTAATTCGATACAATTTAATAAGTATGATTTACCTGCAACCGTGTTCGATAATTTCTTTTCCATTGCATGTATAAGTCATAAATCAAACCTTCCGTCACCTGGCCTTGTGTGTCCCCCAAATCCGGTATCGCGCAGTAAAATACAATTTTCAACATATCGTGTCCAGAATATCGCTTTTCATGATGGTATGTGATACGTATGAACCATATGGCAAAATCGCAAGGTCTGATCTGCTTATCCGTTGCGGTACAGTACAATACGATGTACACGCCGTCGTGCATCATAACTACTTTTTCGATACCCGTGTATCTACCTGTCGACCCTATGTCGAGTTGGTATTATCCTGATAATAATAGGTATTGTCCTGATAATACGGTGTTATGGACACCAATACGATTTTCTTGCAAACGTATACGACTATTTCTTTTCCATTGCCTGAATAAGTCATAAATCAAGCCTGCCGTCACGTGGCCTTGTGTGTCCCCCAAATCCGGTATCGCACAGTAAAATACGATTTTCGCCATATCGTGTCCAAGATATCGCTTATTATGCCGTTATGTGATACGTATGTACCATGTGTCAACGTGGCAAGTTGTGAACTCCTTGTCCGTTATGGTACAGTTCTATACGATATACACGCCATCGTCCATCATAATTACGTTTTGCATGCCTATGTCTTTCACGTGTTTCTATGGCAATTATATATTGTATGTCCGTCTAATCCGGTGATATTGAGTTAAATGCGGTTTTCGCCCTACCGTGCTCATTAATTTGTGTTTACAATGCCTGTCTGTCAGATGTAGCAACCAAATGACTATAACATATTATACATCGCAGGGTTGTATTTTATTATCAATTATGAGGTTCGCGCCATCGTGCAGTATACCCACGTTTTACATGCCTTTGCCTTATACTTTATACCTCTATGTCGATTTGGCGATGATTGTACTGATAATCCGGTGATGTTAGTTCGAATATGATTTTTGTGCTACCATGTTCAATCATTCCTTTTGAAATGCGTGTATATGATATGGATCAACACTGTGCCAATGTTTCTATGTGTGTCGTCGTCATTCCGTATGTCATAGTCAAATACGGTTTTCACGCCATCATTTTTCATAATGATATTTCCACGCCTGTATCTGATATTAAGCCTCCGTATGTTAACGTTGTAGTAAGTGTTTTGCGTATCTGGTGAGTTGCAGTTCAATATGATTTATGCTCCATCTTGTTTGAAAATCATGTTTTGTGTGCTTGTATGTCATACGATACCACATTATTTAGTCGTCGCAATGTGTCTCTTAGTAATCCGGTATGGTATGATGCCGACTTGCCTTATTACATCTTCCATGACTATTTAATACCATCATTTTCGATATCGTAGTTTTACTGACCTTCTAATTTACTGTAGTCTGGTTAAATATGTATGAAATCCTATGTTGTTAATTTTATATTCTAGAAGATACTAATATTTTGAAGGCTTTTTCAACTTCGTGTATTTAAAATACTTTAATACGCCTTATGATCTAATATTTTCTAGTTTCGCATCGTAAGGATTGTCCGAAAAGCCGGCGGGCTTCATTAAAATATTATTAAATTTCTTCAAATTTATAATACGTTTTAAATGACTGTATCTTAAACTAAACTCTCCTATGTATCGTTGTAATGAGTCTACTACTACACCGGTGATTTTCGGTTTAATATGTTTTACGCTACAGCATGCTTAAAAATTACATTTGGCATGCCTGTATGTAATAAGAATGAACCATATGTCAACATCGCAATTGTGTTCTACTATTCCCGTTTGGTGAGGTGTCATTATTTTTTATATACGTTTCTATTACTTAGGTGCCATCGACTTCCCATATTATGTTTTCTATGAATGTATTTAATACGAATAATCCCTTTGATAACATTGCATCGTGTTTTCTGCTCATCCGGTATTGTACGGTTTAATGTGATTTACGATTTATCGTGCTTAATAATTTCTGTTTCAATGACTATTTTTGATACTAATCTTCTCTATGTGAACTTCGCAATCTGTGTCCTGAGAATTCGGTAAAATAAGATTAGTTAAATATGATTAACGCGCCATCGTTTCTTAATGAAGTTTTCCATGCCTCTATATATCATGCGAATATCAACGAAGCGATTCTCAACTCCGTAGGGAAATTTCTGTTTATGCGGTTAGTTGCAGTAAAGCGTACAGTTTTAATTTCTTTGAAACATGAACATTTTGAGTACTCTGTTTGATTCATTTTTGTGAATTCGCATGTATTTTATCAATAATATAGTATCCACAATAGGGAAACGCCATGTGCACTCCCCCAAGGTTATGACATTGCTATTAGAACTTTACCACAACTTGTAATGTCCATGTGTCACTCTAATAGAAACCTTTATACCTTCAACAAATTGGCTGCGAAATGTTAATCCCCAGAGCAAACCCCCAAGAACTCCTAATCCATATATCATTTTACACACGACATATTACCCCCGCGTACAAATGCCTAAGAGTCTTCTCCTTGTACAAACCCTCAAGAATCCCGAATCCATCTATCATCGTACAAACGATAGGTTACCTCCATGTGCAAATGCGTAAGAGTCATCTTCTATAATATCACACGCACAATGAGTTACGTACGTGCAAACATTTAAATATCCTGTTCATTTATAACATTGTCTCCCACGACAAGTTACCTCCACGTGCCAACACCCGAGAATAATATATCACTCTAATATCCCTGCTACAGCAAGAACATTCAAGCGGATTGAAAATCTAATCCGTTTTGAGTATTTCTGAATCCTACGTATGACAATTCAAGTTCATTAAAGCGAAATCGATCTGAATCCTTTTTAAGATTTTTCAATCTTGAAATTAATTATTATAATATGTAAAATTAATTTTAAGATAAAAAAACATTAAAGTGGATAGAGATTCATTCTATTTTAATGAATTATAATTGCTACTTGTAGGATTCAGAAATAGACTCAAAGCGGATTGGATTTTCAATCCAGTTGAATGTCTTTGTTTTAGCAGGGATTCCGCTCATGACAGGTAACCTCTACGTTAAAACCATTAGGAAGGCTTTACTTATATAATCGTATTATATTTTATTATATTTTATTATATTATCGTACGTATAAGCAGTAAACTTTATGTGCAAAACCCTAAAAAATTATACTCTTATTACAACACACCCACAACCTATAATACCCATGTGCAAACCATCAAGAAACTTACAACCTTTAAAGCAATGCAACGGTAAATGATTAACACCTAGTACAAACCCTCGGCAATACCGAATCCATCTATCATTGTACAAACGATAGGTTACCTTCATGTGCAAATGCGTAAGTCTTCTCCTTCTATAATATCACACGCACAATGAGTTACTTACGTGCAAACATTTAAATATCCTATACAATTATAACATTGACTCCCACGACAGTGCAAGCCATCAAGAATTCCGATTCCCTATATTATCGTACAAACGACAGGTTACCCCCATGTACAAATACGTAAAAGTCTTCTCCTTTTATAATATCTCACGCACAATGAATTACGTACGTGCAAACCTTTAAATATCCTGTACATTTAGAACATTGTCTCCCACAACAGGTACCGCCATCTGCCAACTCCCTAGAACAAATTTTGTAACGTATTTGCGAATTTTTACAAATTAATTCATTTAATTGCTAATATTATGTGAATACTCCTGAAGTAGATTTTGTTAAATTTACCAATTATTGAGAAATACATGAAACAATGTGACATTCACTGAGACTGATTTTAATATTCTTACTAATCAATTCATAAATCGCCTCATACTGCCTAGTTAGGTAAAAGCATTTTGAGCAGATGCCTAATTTACTCAATCTGGTGTAGGGACTTTGGGCACATGCCTAAAGTGACAAATTTCTGCCCAATGAGGAGGATATAGGCGAAAAAACTGCCTGAAGTGCCGAATTAGGGGATATATATATATATATATATATATATAACATAAGTATCTGGGATATTTCATGGGAAAAAGAGCCGTTTTCTGGGATTTTATTCGAGATCTGGGACATCCCAGAAAAATACCGATGTCTTCTGGGACCAATGGCAAATACAATTTTTTACAAATCTAGTATTAATGTGTTTACTTCAGCTGAGACAGCTAGAGCTCTTCCCGCCTTTTTTACCAATATTGCAAGAGAAGGAATGATGACATACAAAAATAATTCTAGTTTATTTTGTGGTAAGTAAATTTATTTTTAAATCCCCTGATTTACATTAATATATGTTGGAAACCTGATAATCAATATAATCTTTTTTCACAGATGTGAATATTAATGAGATGGATTTGGAATCGAATAAAGAAGAGGATTATCCCTCTCAAACCAACAAAATAAATATTTCCAACATGTTTGATGAAGTTTTAATAGACGGCAGCATGGTAGATATTGAATCTGAAACTACAAGTAAGTTTTTATTTTATTTTATTTATTAATAAATAAATATTTAGTAGAATTAATTTTAGTTTTCTTAGATTTTATCTTTTACATTTTTCAAATTTGTGCTTTGCAAGTAAATTATAATAATTTCAATATAATTTAGTATTACATGATATAATATATTTAATAATATAACTTGCTATAATTTAGTTTCATTACTATAAAATCAAATTTTTTAATTTTATCACTCATTGGTTTTGTCAACAATTTCCTTTCTGCCATTTTTTATATAATTTTTCCAAATCTTATCCGGATTTTTAAAATGCTTCTTGATAACAGAAACTTGTTATATTTCTGAAAATGAGTTAAAATATTTAAAGCGTACAAATTAAGAAGTAAGGAGTCAATATGAAATTAATGCACAAGTTAATTATCAAGTAATTTGATTAAAATGATATTATGTTTAGTATTTAAAACTTTTTAATTTTATCACTCACTGGTCTTATCAACAATTTCCTTTCTGCTATTTTTTATATAATTTTTCCAAATCTTATCCGGATTTTTAAAATGCTTCTTGATAACAGAAGCTTGTCATATTTCTGAAAATTAGTTAAAATTATTTAAAGCTGCAACGATTACCGAAAATCGTAAGACTCGCGCGAGGTTAACGAGCGGCTAAGCGAGAGGAGCCGCATTCGGATCGTGAGAGAGAGAGAGCGCGTAAGGGGGAATGACCGGGAGGGGAGGCTCCGACCGGCAGTATGACTGTGCCACTCAGTCTGTTCGTGCCGATCTAACCTCAGTTCCTCCGCTGTTCAAAGTTTTCGTGTGTTTTTGCCAATTGACATTGCGAACTTGAGTGCGTGGGTGGGTGTGTAGCAGCAGCAGCAATAGCAGTAGCAGCGACTGCAGTAGCAGCAACAGCAGCAGCAGCAATAGCAGCGAACTCAGTGGCAACAACAACAACAGCAGAAACAGTAATAGAAGTGGTGCAGCGAGCAGCGGGTCCGTTGATTAACAGCGTGTTATTCGGATACGGTTGGCCACCGTATCCTCATCGATATTGCGGTAGGTGCACCTTCTTCCCCTCTTTAATTGTTTATAATTTGCGTGCGAATCCGCGCAGCGAGCGCGAAGAATTTATTGGTTACGCGCGAGCAGGTAGTTCGCGATAATCGCGGTTTTCTCTCTCTCTCAATTTGCGTGTCTTGTTATTCACGCGTGCGTGCGTAAGTCTCTCGGCCAATTCCCCGTGTAAGTCAAGTGCATTAATAAAGTGCATATTTATCGTTTCTATCGAATCAAAGAGTCGTTATTGTGTCTTTCCTTTGTCCGGAGGTCGCGCCCGTGTTTATTTTCAGTGTTTACGTCGATTCGAATTCGCCGGTTATGTAGCACGGACCGTACGAGTACAGGTAGCCGCGAATCGACGCCTTGGGTTCCGACGGCGGCCGCTCGAGCGCTACTAGCAAGGGGCGACAGCGCCGCCAAGCGGTGAGTTGGGGGAACCCAACTCGGAACGGTGAAGAGACTCTGCGCAGGCGCACTTCGAGGCAAGGTAGGTTACTGTGCCTTGAGCACAGAGATAACAAGGCGTCGTTTAGTCGCAATTAAAGGTACGTCTGCAGGATTATAGACTAAACGGCAGCCTGTTACAAAGCGTACAAATTAAGAAGTAAGGAGTCAATATGAAATTAATGCACAAGTTAATTATCAAGTAATTTGATTAAAATGGTATCAATTTTTAGTACTTAAAACTTTTTAATTTTATCACTCACTGGTCTTGTCAACAATTTCTATTCTGCCATTTTTTATAGAATTTTTCCATATCTCTTATCATGATTTTTAAAATGCTTCTTGATAACAGAAACTTGTCATATTTCTGAAAATTAGTTAAAATTATTCAAAGCGTATGTATTAAGATAGGAGTCAATATGAAGTTAATGCAAAAGTTAATTATCAAGTAATTTGATTCCATCAAACAATTAAATTAAAATGGTATCAATTTATATAATATATATAAATTTATATACTTTATATAATTGTGGCAGGGAATTTCGGGGGGTTTGACCGCGCTCCGAGTTCTTCCGCCAGAAGGCCTGTTTGGCTCTACCCCCGATTATTTAGGGCGCCAGACCGTCGGCTGATTACGGCGATCGTCGGGGGTAAGGCCAGTAGGGTTACGCGCATCCCGGTCTGCCTAACGGCGACTGCGCAGAGTGGGCAGATGGGGGGATACGCGTTGTGTCCTAACTTCAGGCCTTTGGTGTCCAACTTTCCTTCGTTAATTAGTGTACGCCGGCAGCTCAGATGACGACTCCTTAGGTCAGGTCGTGAGGACGTTCGAAATCGCGCGTATTTTACCTAACGAATAATCCGAAAATATAGCGAATTAATAAACTCGTATGTAACCGACCGCGGCTGAAAATCACTAACATGCAACAGGGGCAGGTTATCAAATAAGATATATATGTATATACAGACAATTAATAATTTTATTGATGCATTAAAAGTTTCTCACATACGAGGTCGGAATAAATGTGGTCGGTCGAATCCTAAATTTCCATTAATCCCTGAGATACAATTTAAACGGTTCCTAAAATGGCGGAAAGGTCAGCGCGAGTAACAAATCGCAATTTTCCTTTATAAAACCTACGCTTAAATTCGGCTTGCGAAATGGCGGAAAGGTCAGCACAACTAGTTAGTCAAAACAATTTACTTCAACGGAACCTACGTTTGTACTAAGTAACTAACGGAAGGTCAGCGCGAATACTAACTTGCAATTTTCTTTTGTAAGACGAACTTAATAAACGTGACGAAAGGTCAGCGCGAATACCAAGTAGCAACTTTCTTTTACAAAACGAACACTTAATAAAGTCGACGAAAGGTCAGCGCGAATACTAAGTTGCAAATTTCTTTCGTAAACTCTACACTCAATAAATGGTAAACGAAGGTCAGCGCGAATCCTAAATCGCGAATCTCTTTCGTAAACCGAACACTCAATTTAAATTCGCGGAATGGCGGACAGGTCAGCACGATCCTATAGGCACCGACGTCGACGGATCCACGCGTCGCGACGACCTACGGCACTGAACTATCGATTCCCGCACTTCACGATTAATTAGAATTGAGCGGCATTTTGCCTACTTACAAATTTTCCTGGTGGTACTGGCAAACAAAATTGGCAACAGGGAATATAAGAGGCGTCTAGCGCTAAAGGTTCGACAGCGAAAATCAGCTAATAGAGACTCCTTCTCTCTATATCTCCAATAGCGAAATATCTGAGGCGTCTAGCGAGAGTAACAATAGAGAGAGGCTCCTTCCTTGCGGATATCCAGTGGCAAAATGGACGAGAATCGGCTTCTCGCGGTCAAAGATCGTTTCTCTTCTCCTCTTTCCGAGAAGAAATATTATTATTGGTCGGTATGCTAATTCGGATATCGGTAGCGCCCTCCGGATTTTTATCATTGGTCCGTATGTAAATTAGAATAATACAGCGCCCTCCTTAACTCTCCTACTTTCGTCGTTATTTACTCTCTCTCACCCCCCACTAAGGTATCTATCATTAATTGTCGGAAAAGGTCTACCCCTACTCTTATCTATTCGTCTATGCGGACGGAAATCAAATTTTATTCTAATTTGCCTATTGGTCGTGACGTCACTAGCGAATTTTGTCAGATGTTCGAATTCGGTCAGTTAAATTATTATTAAATCTAAAGGGGGTAGTTGTCGCTCGCTATCATAATAGGGGTGTCGGTCGTGTGCGAATTTTACAATTTAATATTTATTTCGTGTTCATTCTTTTTCAATTTTTTTAAATTTTAATCTAAGAAATACGTATATAATATACGCCGTTTCATTTATAGCGCCCTCATCTTCGCATTTACATATTATTCTATTATTTTATATTGTCTGTCTCGCTCGCTCTTGTTTCGTCTATTTCGCTCGCTCTGTCTCGCTCGCTCTGTCTCAGTCTGTCTCGCTCGATCTTGTTTAGTCTGCTTCGCTCGCTCTGTCTCGCTCGCTCTGTCTCAGTCTGTCTCGCTCGCTCGCTCTCAGTCTATATCGGCGCTTCAAGATGGCCGCTCAGTTTCTCGCGCGTACGCCTCGTGTTCTTGCGCCGGTTGTTGGAGCGCCTCCTGGGGCGCTCCCGTGTCGGTTCTGTGGTGTTGTTCCGGGTGTTTATGTGTGTGGTCGCTGATTTTTCGTGTGTGTGGCGCTGATTTTCGTGTGTGTGGCGCTCAGGATGTCGCCGATGGTGTTCGGCAGCCCGACACAGCTGATTGCCGGCTGCCACTTCATCGGCGATTTTCTGCTCGCCCCAGGAGTGTCAGTGCCTCGTGCGTGTTCGTGTTAGTGTCTGGGAGTGTAACGGATCTGCATGTGTCATCAACATGCATCTCCGTTGCATTTCCCAGTCAGATTTTGCATTTTTCTTTTTGCCGGCCGGCAACACGTGGTCGGGAGTGTCTGTGAGTGAGTGTGTGCGTGCGCTCTCTTTTTCTGTGGTGCGCTCCTTTTTTTCTTTTCTGCTCTTTGAGCATCCGTCGGATCGCGTTGGGCAAGTTTGTTTCGCCCATATCTCCGGCGTGGTCATTCGGACATGGAAAATAATAATGGTTCGGTGTAGGGCGTGTTTAGTTTTATTTTAAACAACCGGTTACGGGGCGGCAAGGGACGGGGATGGTCTTTCTGAGGTGTTGCAAATAATGCAGCACTCAGGAAAGGCTTTGTAATGTGCCACATTACATAATTTCTATTAAATGATAGCTTTTTAGTTAAGAACATATGATTATTTATTTTTTATTGTTTTAATTTTATTTTTAGTATTTAAAACTTTTTAATTTTATCACTCACTGGTCTTGTCAACAATTTCCTTTCTGCCATTGTTAGGAAATATACAGTTCTTATATCCGTGATTTACAGCTCCAATTTTATTCAATGTGTAAGGCTAAAAGTATAAATAATTAATTATAATTACGGTTTACGGTATTACAGTATAATGAAAAAAAGAGGACGAACTCATCAACTTATACGTTTCATTCACATTGGATAAAATTGAAGCTGTAAATCACTGATATAAGAACTTTATTCTCACATTAAATTTTAATCTCACCACTGAATTTGAAATTATGAAGATGGCGGTGCCTATAAAAATTCGGATCGGGACGGATCCGTCCACGATCCGAGGAGGGATCCCGTGTAGACACTCCCTTAGGCTTTCTCCAGATAAGACCCGTGGGTCGGAAAACCACGCCGTATTTTGCCACATTCTTCATACTACTCCCTCATTTACACATTTTTTATTTGAGTAATTTAAACAATCGTTCACAAATTAGATTTTTTTCTTGGCTAAGTGATTAAAAAATTACATGAGTTTTCTATAAATTAAAAATCTGAAGTAACCTATTTCAAGAGCTTGGAAACAAGAAACTTTTGATAATTTGATACAAATTTTATTATGTTAGTTACTTTACGAATTATTAGCTTCCAAAATAAACGGCTTATTCTGAATATAAAAACAATTTATCGAAAACCAAAATTTTATCGTATAGATTTCTCCGCGTATTTTCTATATTTTCAGTGACACATTATATATATTTTATATGTTATCTATAATTAGATAAAATATAAGAACGAAAAGGACTCGACGCTTAAAAACCGAAGAAAGGATTCTAGACGTATCTTCGTACTTTTGCCTATTGCAAACATTCTTTTCGTTGCACTCTCGTTCTCTCTCTTTCTGCTGGACAGTCAATTTCATGCTCACTCTAAATTTTCCCTGACTAGCTCCGAGCGGGGACGTACGGTGCTGACTTCGACATTTTATCGCCAAAGCCGCAGTTTCGTTGTCTTTCTCTGCTTCTCGAAGTTTTTCGTCGCGTTCACAATTCAATTTTCGATTATTTAATTTATAATTAAAATTTAGATTAATAAAAAAAATGGATATTTTACTATTCGTACTTCAAATTGAAATTTTATGTCATGTAACACTGGGATAAACGCAAATATAAGTATTTAACGCGTACATCTATGGAAAACGTTTGGATTTGAATGAATGATGCGATCACACAGCATGAATTAATTCTAAAATAATTCAAAATTAATTCATGAAATAATATAATTATTTTAGAATTAATTCAATGAATTAATTCTGTATTAATTTTATGTCCGTTTTTTTTCCTTTAGAAATATAACGAATATTATTACTACATTAATTGACTAAAATAATTTTCAAATATTACATGCATTTTAGAAGAATTATTTTATGAAATATTAACGTAATAGTTTTGAAATTATTACAGTTAGAATATTTTGAATTGTTTCAAAATTAATGTTTAAAATTAATATTGAAGAAATAAACAGCGGACATAAAATTAATACAAAATTGATTCACTGAAATAATTTTCAAATATTACATGCATTTTAGAAGAATTATTTTATGAAATATTATCATAATAATTTTGAAATCATTACAGTAAGAATGTTTTGAATTGTTTCAAAATTAATTTTCAAAATGATACTTAAGTAATAAAAAGCTGGCGTAAAATTAATACAGAATTGATTCACTGAAATAATTTTAAAAGATTATATCCATTTCACAAGAATTATTTTATAAAATACTATCTAATTACTTTTAGAATTATTATAAAAAATATTTAAAATTATATAACACAACTAGATATACTATAAATAAATTATTTACTGAATATATAAGTAAAATTTGAAAAATTATTAAAAGTGCTATATTTTATATAATTATGGAAGAACACGAAATAAAATAATTGATAAACGTACAGTACTTTATTTAATGTTTACTTTAATATTATCTAGTATATGGTGTAACGGGGTTTCTTACCGTTTAATTATTTTTATTCGCGCGAGTTTATTGAAGGGCGAATGTAATCATCTATGCTTAATACATAATCCGGAGAGCATGGGGAAACAGGTGTCAGTCAACCAATAGATCTACTAATCTAAGAAAATGAGTGGAAGCAATATGGAATAACCGAGTCGAAAGCACTTGTTAATAACACGAACAGAATCTTTTATTGTCTATCAAATATTACACTGGATCGGCCCGCGAGTTTATGTTGACATCAGCGCTCGCTCATCGAGAACACACAGTGTCGGGACGCTCGCTGCTCTTTGTTAACAGAGCTATTGCATGCACGCTTCGAACACGAGAAATTAATTGTTATACATGCAACCACGATCGCGAGATTAAGCTGGCCAGCTTACCTTTGTTTTGCGGACACCAATAAGTCGCACTCGGAAAAGGTCTATTGTTTGTTTGTGTCGCGAGTCGCGAACTTAAAAGCACGTGGCTTCGCCCTCGATGGCGAAATCTCACGCACGCACTAGCGTTATCACCGCGCACGGCGCCTTTGTCTGCTGGTTCAAGCCTTCGCCCTTGTGAGCTGCACGGCACCTCGGCTGCGACGATCTCTGGAACTCAGGTCTTGGTGCTCTGCGAACGGAATTCTGCTCCGATAACTCGGGAAGTGACAGCTGGTCTCGTACACACCGGCGAACTCGTTGATGGTCAAAGCTTCACTGGTTCAATTTCAATCGCGCGCGTTCCGTCTGCTCGCGTGCCGAATTCTTTCGTTACGTTTTTCGTCTCCCCGGTAGGTGCTGCCTCCGCAGGCAGCAATTAGGTTATATTATTAGCGCTAATTTGACGTTTACCGTCACAATGGATATATATTAGATATACATTATAAATATTACATAAAGCAGATTTCTTATCGAATTTTCACATTGAATTTCTTTCAATTTTAACGAACAATAATAAAAAATGGAAGTGCTTAACGCAATGCTAGGGGTTTAAATAATCCTGAATTAAAATTCCCTTAAGGAGATATGAAACGCCCCTGATAACACCTCGAAGAAATTAAGATTTGGTGCTGCTTGATCAAATTTTGAAAGAACCACTCTATAGAATTGTGTGAAATTTGAACTGAGTAATTCTTGGACATATATCTACACCCTAAAAAAAAGTTTTTATTTTTAATCTAACTTTGATTCTGCAATATTTCAAGTTCTGTAAATGCCGGTAAGGTAGGTACTTTCATGAACGTTTCATATGCTCAGTAATGCGTACAAAAGCTTTTTTACGAGATTAAAACCTATAATATTTCTTGGATTATTGGTACGTTAATTCGTAAATTAATTAGTGCATTTTTACAAAAATCATATCACGAATTAATTCAGAAATAATTTTATATTAATATCTGAAATAATTCAGGTAAATCAAAATTTTCCATTTTAATATAATGCAAGAATTAATGTATTGTTACGTTTAAACTTAAAGACTTAGACTTTACTTTATTAATTTTAAAAAGTGTTTACAAACAGATAACGAAGTGTTAACTAACTATTCTGTGTTTTCTATTACAAACATAAACAAACAACATATACAAATTAATGTTGCAGCGGATACATATTCGAATAAGAACTATTCGAAAGATGCACTCGTAACAAAATAATTAATTTATAATTATATCTTGCGTTAATTTGTAACTTTAAACCTATAATTTTTCTTGGACTAATTCAACATTAATCCGTGAATTAATGTGTATATTTGTACAAAAATCATATCACGAATTAATTCAGAAATAATTTTGAATTATTTTCTGAAATAATTCGGGTGAATCGAAATTTTGCATTTTCATATAATTTAAGAATTAATTTTAAATGAATCCAGAATCATTTGTTGCGTTGATTTCGAGATTAAAACCTATAATATTTCATGGATTAATTCAACATTAATGAATGATTTAATTTATGTATTTTTACAAAAATCATATCACGAAATAATTTTGAAATAGTTTTAAAATATTTCAAGATATAATTTTAGTTTTATGTTGTAAATTAATTCATGGTTCCTTTCAAAATCCTTTCTAAATTAATTCATGTATTAATTTGTTTATTTTTACAGGAATCATTACCTGAATTATTTTTAATAGAATTTTAGAATATTTCTTTGTAATATTTCATGTATTAATTAAGAAATAATTTTCTTTTCTTAGAAAATTATTTTTATATTAATTCTTTGCGTTAATTCAAGAATTAATTCAGTGAATTAATTCATGCTCTGTGGGATGTAGGGTAATAAATACGGGAAATAATTTGAGATGAACAAAGAGAGAGAGAGAGAGAGAGATATTTTATTATTTATAATTTACATCATTGCTATCACTGAAAAATTATCGATGATTTGAATGAATTATTGATGAATTTGACAATTTCAAATTTTAATTTATTGTAACATTGTACGATTAACCAGACGTGACAAAAAGCCTTTTTTTATTTTTATTGTTTAATATAATTATATTGAATACAAATAAAACAAAACTTTACTCTTTTCGTTGCAGGTGAAAGTCAAATTTCTTTTGAATTCTATGATTTCCAAACATTGGAGAAACATGAGTTTTCTAACTGCCGAATTCATAGTAGCACCTTGAATGATTCTAAATCGCTCAATAATAATGAATGTAATAAAGATGATAATATTCTCAATATTTCCCAATGCGAGGTGGAGAAACTAAGGAGATTTTCAGATTGTAATACAAATAATTATAATCTTTCTACGATTGAAAAATGTATCCTCTCGGATAATTCTTTGGAACAGAATCAAACTTTACCAGTAACAGATATAAGTGATTCAGGTAAAAGAGACCACAGTTCTAGTCAAAAGATTAATATGCCATTAGTTGATTACTCAAATACTGATAGTGATATAAGCACAATTAACTCAGAAATCCATAAAAACTTTGAAAGGCAAAATAATGGTAAGCCTTTTTTTATGTCAACATAAATATTTCAAGAATTATAATAATAAAACTACTTGAAATGAATAATACCGGCATACAAGAAAAATCGTTTAAGTAAAATAAACTATTATTTGTTATGTTTTTCGGGTTGTTTAATGTTATTGGGCTGTTTGATCCTCGGCGGTTAAAGACAAAGTTATTTAAAGATCAAATGTGTTTATTCTGGAAAAAATTAATTTTTGTCTGGTGATTCAGAAAGAGCGAACAATTTTCAAACCTATATTTTGTTTTTTTACATTATGACCCAGAGGTTATTTCACAGTTATTATAAGTAGTGATATAAAAAGTTTAATTAGCCACTGCAAGTTTCTAAATTTCTGTTTGGCATTAGAATTACGTTTTCGTCCTAGATTTTTCCAGTATAACAATAATTATTTTGACAAAACATATTTGACCTGTAAGTGACCTTAATTCTGCGGTAATAGGATCAAACGGTCCACGGGTTAAAATACATAGAAATATATCTTGCATTAAAACATCATGAAGATGATTGATTTTGTACTCCGATGTAATTATTATCAAAACTTAATAGATTTTAATTACTTTTCTTGTCTAAATCACAAGCTGTTAATCAGATGAAATAATCATTTCTCTTTATAAATTCCTTCATGTTTATATGTTTCGAATCAATATTAATATTTCTTTTTTATTATATACAGCGTCTTTTACATCACCCCTCTATCATGCAATAGATCCCCATACATATATATTTATTTAGATTGATTCCCAATTAGACAGATTTCGATTCCTAATAACCTTAATCTAATAACCTTATCTCCTAATAAACTTAGCTCTCTACGACAAATTCTAAGTTGCCTTTCCTTTTTAATATTCCCCGCAGATTTGCAATTTCCTAGTCTCGTCATTCTCCTTTCTTTCTTTCCTGGTTCAGTAGTTCTTGGAATTTTTTAAACCATTAGTTTAAATCTTAATTTTTTTCCTCTGTTCATCCAGCTTTATATCGAACATTTTCTGAAATAATTCCTGCAAACTCTTATGTTTCTAGTCATTCAACTTATCGCTGTTACCAGTCATTCAATCTTCATCAATTTCTTTCATTAATGTAACGTTTCTTCTTATTACAACTCTCTCTACGCTGGATCTTGCTTTATTTGCCTCGAACTTTCTAAGTGCTACTTACCGAATGAAGGTATCTTCCATGTCGATCATGCCCCGATGCTTCAACTCTTGCCACTTCAACGTTTGCCACTTGATGTATCTCCTATGCTGCCATGCTTCTTGTCATCTTCAGGGTACCCCTATCTTGCTCTGTTTTCGTAGCTTTTTCCCGTTTTTTCACATCTTTCTTACGTAGTCCGTTTTCTTACCTTGCTTTCGTTACTTTTTTAATGTTTTTTTCTATTTCTCCTTTCATTTTCTTTAAGCTATTCTGCGCTTTCTTCGCTGATCGTCTCTTTCTTTCGTCTTTCTTCTTCTTCGCACCCGATATCTCTACTCTTCTTACTCACGATGTAACCTCTCACAGTACTGCAATTTTCGACCTTCGTTTCTCCGCTGTAACCTACTGCCGTCCATCTTCACTTTTCTTTACTAATTTCACCTACTTCTATAAATTTTCTTTCTTTATTTTCCTCTCTATTACTACGAGGGGGGTCGATAAGTCTTTCCAAAAAGAAGGAAAAAAAAGTTTTGCGTATGTAATTTTTTTTTATTTGTCAACATAATCTTCTTAAAGGTCGATACATTTTATGAAACGGCCTTCCAGTTTTTTTAAGCCATCAGAAAAATATGATTTCTGAAAACTCTCAAAATAGGTATTTGTTTCGGCGATGACTTCTTCATTCGACGTGAATCGTTGTCCGGCAAGCCATTTTTTGAGGTTAGAAAATAAGAAAAAGTCACTGGGAGCCAAATCAGGCGAATATGGTGGAGGTCAATTAATTCGAACTTTAAATCGTTAATTGTTGCCATCGAAACTAGACACGTGTGAATTCGAGCATTGTCTTGAAGAAAGAGGCATTTTTTTTGTTCAAGTGAGGACGTTTTTCTCTGATTTTTTCTTTCAGCTGCCCTAATAATAACGCATAATATTGTCCAGTGATCGTCTGGCCCTTTTCCAAGTAGTCGATGTAGATGATTTCGTACGCATCCCAGAAAAACCGTGGCCATAATCTTGCCAGCTGACTTTACTGTCTTTGCCTTCTTTGGGGCTGGTTCTCCTGCGGTAATCCATTGTTTGGACTGTTCTTTGGTTTCAGGAGTGTAGTGGTTTGCCCATGTTTCGTCTACAGTTACGAGTCGACGTCAAAAGTCTTCCGGATTACGACGTATTCGTGCCAAAAGAGCCGCAGAGGTAACCACACGGGTTCGTTTGTTTTCAACAGTGAGCAAACGCGGCACCCATCTTGCTGATATTTTTTTCATCTCCAATTTTTTATGCAAAAGTGAAATGATTGTATCCTTTGATACCTCAACTAATTCTCGCAATTTTAATCTTCTAACACTCAACACCATATCATGGATTTTGTTGACCATTTCGGGTGTACTCACTTCTACGGGGCGTCCTGATTGAGGTTTATCTTCTGTTGTTGTACGGCTGCGTTTGAATTCATTTACCCAGTTATAAACAGACTTGCCATGAACGGCGTTCAACTCAACTGTGATTTCTTTTGGTGTAAGGCCTTTCAAATGAAAATGTTTTATCACCGCTCGAAATTCTGTTTTTTCCATTTTTCAAATAAACCAATAACTTTTTGTTCAACGAACGCTCACAAAAAAAACGACTTAATGAATCGAGCTGAAACTTTGTACGATATCTACTTACTAGTATTGCTTGCCAAAAACATCATAATTTAAGCGTGACGAGCGCCATCTCTTGAATTTTGTAAAGACTTATTAACCCTCCCTCGTAGTTTCTTAATCATAGCTCACGATGTGCAACTTGCCACGGCCAAACTGCCTAAATCCCGTTTCGAATCGATATTATTGATTACAACAATATTGCATATTATTTCGCGTTAGTTACACCTGTGGCAATATTTTTAAAGAAAATATTTTAATTGCACAGATTTGCAAAATATAAATAATAAGGTTGTGACGGTACTGGAAATGTTGACATAATATTAAATATCAAGAAACATGATGAACATGAAAATGGTATATTTAATACAGACTATTATAGGCTATTATGGAATAACTTCGAAATCATTAAGAAAATCATTAAGAAAATAACACACATTGATTATTTTGAGAGAAATAATAAAAAAGTTTATAGAATAACTACTGCAAAGTTTGAGCAAATTTTATAATGCTTTTAATTCGATATTCATTAAAAACAGGCTTACAATAATAAGATTACTTCATTACTGAGCATTTTTATATGTAACATACTATCATATATACAACAAAATAAGGAAGCAATCTTAATAAAATCGATTTGAAGGATATATAAATCCAAAACTATTTTATAGAGATGCTCCTAAATGTGATTTACAGCTTGCGTTTTGGACAATTACGGTATAGAACTTTTTTAAACGCAACATGTATTTTCTAGATCTCTGGAACTTTAACTAACTATAGCTATACAGCTTGTAAAAAACGTCATAAAAATTGATTAATTGGTTTACAGTCATCTACATACTTGTACAGTTTTCATTATTGATATTGATACTGATATTAATCACTGTACAGTAAATATAGTTTCTAATTTCTGAAGAAGATTCATAATAGCGATGAATAGTTTTGAAAATAAAAACATCAGTATCACATTCGTTGATTATTTATTAACAGTAACGTTTCTGTTATAAAGTGTAACCCTCCACAGATTAATATAAAATTATGCCAGCGATTCACAGCAACAATTCATTATTTTTGACTTAAATCTTGAAACAATTAATAAAAAATGATGACTTCCACAAAAAATTAAAGAATTACACACATAACTATTAAATTATTATATTAATTGTCCATTGATTCTGTAGTCTGGAGGGGCTTACACTTTGTATTTAAAATGTTGCTATTATATGACATTTATATGACAACAAGGGCGATTATTATTGAGTTATTTAGAATAAATACACAAGATTCAAACGGACAAAAAGAACAATATATAAATTTTAATAATAACGACGATTATTTCTTGCCTTTTTGAGATTACATAAATAAGAAGAAAAATTTCATAAGTATGCCTGATAAAAATTCAACATTTCCGAAGACCGAAAATTCGAAGGTTCTAGATACTTATTTAACATGTTGACTGCAACAGCAATTTTCAGAATTCTGGCCTAAAATAATAATTTGAATCGATCACATTATATTATTAAAATCTTTCCCAGAAACCATTTATCGATATTAGCACTGATATATTCCGAGTTTAATCGTAGTTGCACAAAAATGGGAAGTAAACAAAAACGAGATAACTCGTAGTTGGCGTCCTAGAAAAGAACATAATCTACAAATTCTTTTGTAGTTGGCAGTCAACGTGTTAATCCCTACTAAAAATTCTTACATCAGTTCTAATGTAAGAAACATCGTTAGATCACGAAGGATGTTTTCGCCCTCTATTTCTTACACTTGAATCTGTTCTCATGCAAGATCCAACGTAAGAAATATATAAAAATGACTCATTGTCTATTCTCATGAAAGAACTGACGCATAAAATTATTTATGTTACCAAATCAATCATCATTGTTTGTTATAAATTTTTATAAAAGTTTGGTTTCTGATATTTATATAAATTTTCTACATAAGATTTTACGCGAAGATAGTTTCATGTATTAGTTCTTTCATGAGAATAGAGTACGAGTCATTTTTATATATTTCTTACGTTGGATCTTGCATGAGAACAGGTTCAAATGTAAGAAATAGGGGGCGAAAACATCCTACGGAATCTAACGATGTTTCTTACATTAGAACTGATGTAAGAATTTATAGTAGGTATGTGACTTTTTTGTGTTGTTCATAGTGACATTGTTTTTATATGTTAAATATTCATAAATAATTGAAATTTATATTTCAGCAAGTTTTGAATCGATACAGACATTAGCTGTAAGGATGGGTGTGTCTTGCAATTATTTCAATAATGATAGTGACACAGACGACGAAATTAAGTTGAAGTCTAAAAATACTACCAATAACTTAGAAGAATCGGATAACATTTCGAATATTAATAGTGATATTCCATGTGCAGAAAGTAAAAAGCAAGTTGAATTTCAACAAAAAATATCTCAAAATGTAGATAATATTGAAATCGAAGGCGAATGTGACCGAATTGAGTATTACCATCCTAATGAATATGAAGAGTCATCTGCTCATTCCGAAACTGACTCTGAAAATGATTATGATTTACTTCCATCGGGTACACAAAATGTTAGTCTGCCAACCAATTTGAAAACCAGCAAAAACTCTGAATCAAAAAGCATGAATAAGGAAAACATAAAACTGAATCGTGAGTAATCATCTTATGAAAGTCTAAATTTTATTAATAATATTGAAATTTTTTTGGTATTATAACTTAAGTTTCATTCGTCTCGCATATAAAGAATTAGAGAAAAGAGATGTAAAGAATGAGAGGAAAGAAGTAGCTGGGGACCGGGTTCTTGTAAGCTATTCAAAGCTAGACCCGGTGGTTGAGTTTGCTAGACGTTTAAATCCTTGAGCACGTGAGCCTGCAAAGAACGTCGTGCGATAAACACATACATAGGTTCTGATTTGAATTTTAATGTGGAAGAGAACGCACAAAGAAAAGTTAGAGTTAGACGTGAAATAATAAGATAGTCAGTTAATAATAAGTATCACTTTATAAGACTCGGCAGCTCAACAGCGGAGGTTCAACAGTAGAGACAGATAACACGTGTTCAATTTTCTACTCACCGGAATCACCTATTACCTAAAACTGCAATTTATCGCATTGTGTGTGCATTTCTCTGCTCCACAAACTGCGCACGGACATATCGACAGGCTCTCCCCTTAGACCTCAATCTCTTACAAATTTCTTGTCAATTACCGTAATAATTGACCTGCCGTCTAGTAACGCGTATGTATCGACTGTTTTGGTCGAACCTTTAACACGAAACGGCACGATTTTCAGGAAGCCGGTTTTTTATATTAGTCACTTGATCGATTTACTTTTCGAGTTTTCCCGATCATCGTGCGGACGTCAGTCCGGGAGTGCTCACGAGAATCTTTCTTACGATTGTCGCGATCCCTAATTCTTTTTGATGACCGAAGGCATACAACAAGGTATAATGGTATTTTCGGTACACATCTCACGTACGTTTTTATTTACATTCTTCACGCTTATGCCTATCGCCTAAGCATGGGAAGCAAACTTTCAATTTTCTTGCGATGGTCCACCTTCGATAAGTGAATTTGCGCTTGAAATCAGTACAATATCGCAAACAATGATTTGTTCTCTCACAGTGAGAACATTTCTTTTCTCTCAGTTAATGCATTTTTTCGATTTCCTCTCTCGACATTTATTCATCCGTCGTTGCGCAAACTATAGCCATTCTTGACGACTTCACATACGCTCTCGAAACATCTTTCCCTTTCGCACTCTTGTCCTCCTCGAACTGCCTGGATGACGTGGTAGATAAGTGAGCTATGCCCGAGAATACCGCATTAACAGCCTTTTTTGACAAAAACGTAGACAATGATTCTAGCTTCGTTTCCCCGGAATTCAAAGTGAACAAATGATCAGAGAAAGACATTTATAATTGGCCCGGAAGCTTGCTTATTATGCTTTTCCACAACGGCACATCAATCAAATAGTCCGTCAATTCTAACGATTTGAACGCGGCCAACGCATTGCCCAGTCTCGCCGTGAACTCAACAATATTCACCTCACCATCTCTCATTGACAGCAAGTCGATGATATCCTCGGAGATTCTATTCGCTATAGCAATAAAATTTTGAAACTGAAGCTTCAACGAGTTGATAATCAACTGAGCGCAGCGCGTGGTAGCTAACAAAGTCTTGTTTTGAAGCTTAGCATTGCTATCCAATGCCTTTTGCAAACGTGTGATGTTCTCACAATCAGGGTGTCCAAAATTTCAAGTAGATTCGCGAAAACGTTTTCTGATGTGCACCCACTTGAGGGAATCGCTGGTGAACGTAGGAAGTTCTTTCAAAAACGTCGGATGGCTTCCCAAACTCGAATCACTCTAACTCACCGCTGTTTCTCTAATTGTACGCAATGTTACTAGTAGCGTCTCCGCAAACGCATTGTTCATCGCATTCGTGGTGTTCGCATTTTAAATCGCGTTCATGTTTTCACTGTTACACATCATACTTTGTGTACCATCTTGCTAGACGTTGGCTTGTTCGTAGTTTGCTTCGAAGTTGGAGTTGCTGCTTTGGCTGGTAATCCTTCTGTCTACTTGTCGACGTTGGGTTTACTACATGGACAATCGCGTCGACCGCAGGTAGCGGGGATAAGTCTCTGTCTCTCAATAGCCAAGGTGGCCAGACGCGTCTACATCAGACGACGATTGGGTTGGTGGCGACAGGGTCTACCATGACGGGGGTTGTTGCGTGGCGGCTTAGCTGCTGCTGGTTGTCTGCCGATCAGTGGATTGGTGACGTAACTGCTCCTGTTACGTTTAGCTGCTGGTGCTACCACCGTTGGTGGCACTCAACCTTTTTTCTTAGTCATCGATGACAACAAATAAAGTCAATCAGACGTGCTCGACACCACAGTGGTTTAAACTACGCTACTCGTGCTCGATTGTTCGTTGTTCCTCGCCCCTTAGGAAACAGGAATCGTGGTCGTTGGAAGTTATTTTTTTATTTTTGCAAGTTTATTTTAGAAAAATGTAATACAAAAGACTTAAAAAATCGAAACACCAGTGCTGCTAAAGTCAACCTGGATGCATAAAAGTGAAAACACAAGAAACTAACATCGCAAAATCATAGCCACAAGAGCATTGATCGAAAAGGTGTCTTGCCAGTCCGAAAGCTACCAAGCTTTTTTAAGGTCCACCTTCCTCTTTTACGCTTTCTTATTTTAGGCTTAAGGCGTGGGCGTGGCTTTTTCGAGCATAGCGCACTAGCTGTGTGCTCACTTTACTCCGTTCACCCTCTCTTCGTCATGCCTATTGGCCTCTGTGTCCATTTGGCGTCCCAATCCGCAATTTCGATTACCGGGAAAAATTTATTTTCCTCGAGATCTTCAAGCTCGGAAAACCGTATGTTTCCCGATCTGAACAACGGCGTCATGGCCATGAGTCCGCACGAATGCGTTCACGCACACATGGAGAGTAAGAAGTCGGGCGTTCTGGTTTATTCTACACGCGGCATTTATCTTCTTATTTTATATATTTAAATATTGTTGGGCGCTCGAAAAAAAACCTGGGCATCTCGGACGATAATCAGAACTCGCATATTACAAATTACACTTGTCGGCTACATCTTGTCATCGCGGTTTATCTTATCTTAAATCTACGTAGTTATATTTTGCGTACAGCCTTATTTACGCGATTTACAATGTGTCTTATCATTTTAAAAATGTCGAACTTAAACTACGGAGTTACGGAATCAGATGGTCGAGATTATAAGTGTGGGATTTATAATATCGATAACGTCACGTTCCGTACGTGCCGCGGCGCTGGTTTCGTTCCCGAGGTTTTGTTGGGGAAAGCCAGGCGCCGGACCGGTTACACGTTTATATTTTTACGACTTCGGCGCGTCGAGAGAGGATCAGGCTAAACGTATGGCTCGTAGCTGCTTTGCGATCACTTGATTATGTTGTCCCCTCGTTTCCTAATTTCGGTTCGGAAAAGGTAGTTCAAGTGGAGTTAGGCACAATTCATAAAAGAAAAAGAATGGGAAAGAAAACGAAACGAAAATTTTAAACGCGCTGTGAGCTAGTATGTTATCGAATTTACAACTCTAACCATCCGAAACATGCAGCATTTTGTACAAAGTGCATTATTATTCACTTAAGTTCAATTTAAAACTTTTTATGCAGAACCTCTCACTGAAGTATATTCATTCATTTTTGTTGAATAAATATATTATTATATGCAATATCAATCTTAAGTAAAATAGCAATCAACTACCTTTTGATTTAAAAATGTCCATTCTTGATTCACTTATCATACGCAGTATCTCTCATCGATTTTTAATTATATAAATATTTATGTGAAAATGTTGTAATACAAAATTAAGTTGTTAAATTGTTTATTTTTGCGGTAATATCAGTTTAAATATACATTAAATATTGGCTACTAATTAACTCGTTCTCCAAGTTTTCTCAAGAACAAACATTTTTTCCATTATTTTTTGAGTAGTTCAATCTTAATTTTTTCCATTAATGTATTTTCTCAAGCTTTATGAAAGAATTGATTAACTAATTTTGTAAAAAGGTAAAAAATACTTATGATAAATTTTATTATGTTATACTAAACAATTATCTCCAACGTTCTCCAAATGAAGATAACATTAGTTTCGAAATTTTTGAAAAAAAAAATAGATTTGTTTTTCAGACAATTTGGAAAACCTGACTAGAGAATAAAACCTATGTTCTTAAAAAAATTTGATATTTATAATGTTTTCTCTTTACGATCATATAAATTCTATTTTACAGGTAAAGGAAAACTTCAAATTCTACATAAGATCGATGCAGCGTTAGGTAATCATTGCAATACAGCTCTTTCAAATAAAATCGTCTCCCGTTCTTCCTCGAAATCACTGAAAAATAACCTACGAAGAAGGTTTCGCAGTGACTTCAAAGCCAAAAAAAATGAAGAAAACAATTCTAAACAAATAATAGTTCAAAACTTTGAAAGGACTATTCCCGAATCGAGCGAAGAAGACTCGGGTGATGAATATCTACCAGAGAATGATATAGAAAATGATAGTTCAGAAGATGATTTTGAAAATGGAGATTACTCAGAGGTTGAAGATGATGAACTCTATTCTTGGGAAGTTGGTGCTAGTACACCAGATACTAGCGGGTCTCAGGATCATTCATACGAGCATAAATATAATTTAGCTCCTAGTCAAATCATACCGGCACATGAACTCATCGTTCCTGAATCAAGTGTGGGTGGTGAATGGTACTATAAATCAAACTGTTGTTGTTATTGCTTTGAATTGTGTTCACGCGTCGACCGTCATCTAATCACTAAACATAAAAACACAAAAACTGTGCAGAAAATTATCAGTATTGTCGGGAATTCTAAACAAGCCAAGGCCAAAAGAAGACATTACTTTGATATTTTGAGAAAAGCTGGTAATGATCGTTGGAATATCGATAAAAGTATTAATCCAAACAAAATTATGATACCATCTCGAAGAAAAGCAACAAATAAAGGAATATCTAAATCCAGTAAAAATACTAACGACTCCGTACAAATTAATTCAAGCGACAATATTCTTAATAATTTACATAATAATACTGAGAAAACAACAACTAACAAATCTACGAAATTAGAAAAATTACGATGTGGAATTTGCTTTGCTTGGCTTTCTAGAAACTATATTGCGCAACATGGAATAGAAAAACATGATTAAAATCTGGCTGCGATGGGCACATAAGGTGCCTTGGCATCCGCAAGAAGCTGGATGTTTGCTTGTCATCATTACGCACTACCCAAATTAAGGAAGCGAATCCTTTGTTTTATGAACGAAGATGAAATAGGCAACATAGCGAGATACGATAAATTGATCATCCTTTACGGTAACAAGTATTCTACAAGACACACAAAACTAGACCAACAAGATTTGGTAAAAGGTCACTTGCGATTATTGGGCAAACTAGTTTATCAAGTAAGATTATTCCATCCTGACCTCAAGACTTTGGAAGATTGCATGCGGGGTACGGCCTGGCCATATGTTTTACAAGCTATAAAAGTACTCTCAGAGTATGATGAAAAAAGTGAAACAGTGAACAATGCTTACAATGGTCATACCCTTGGTATGCTACTAAGACGTCTTTTCACAATATGCAGAGCTTATTATTACAAAACAGAAAATAAAATAGGCCTGGAACGTCTGACAGGTTTTATGGTAGCTTTTGAAGACGAATATACCGTTCACATTGGGTCTAAGGCTACAGATGCTGATAACAAATCTCGTAGACGTCGTGCTCGTAAGCCATTGCCAACCACTCGTGATATTGAATTGTTTGGTACATTTTTAGAGGATCAGTTTAATGTCAGTTATAATTTTCTAATCAAAGAAGGTTTCAGTGACTATCACTTCCAAAGGTTATCTAAAATAACTTTGATTATTCTGCAACTATTTAACAGAAGGAGACCTTGTGAAACTGAAAGGGCAGAAGTGGAGGACTTTGAGAATGCAAAGCAAGCTGACGCTAATGATGAGTACTTCCAATTGCTTACGCATGAAGACAGGAAACAGTCTTCATCATATATAAGGATGGATTGTGCAGGCAAGAAACAGAATGGTCTCGATGGTATTATTTACTTAAAAGGAAATTTGGTAAATAGTGTTAACTTATTGTTAAGTTTGAGGAAACAAGCTAATATTCCAGTTGGTAATATGTTCTTGTTTGCACTTCCAAGTGCAAAAAATAGTAGAATGAAGCATGTTAAAGCGTACTATGCTATGAGTGATTTAGTCAAGGAGTGTCATACGCAATATAAGCCTTTAGAAAGACCTGAAGCGATTACACATACAAATTTGCGAAAGCAAATGGCTACAAAGTTTAGCATATTTGAGGAACAAGTAGAAGTAGACGCTGTAGCAAGACAGATGGCACATACGACTAGAATTCATCTGGGCACGTACAGGCAGGATACTAACAAAGTGGACGCTACAATGACTCGCGTTTTAGAAAGACTTGAAAAACCGATTACATGTAAAAATCTAAATTCAAATGAAATTGAAACTCTGCGGGAAGAAAGCTCTAGAGATGATTTCGAGAATTCAGATCCTGAAGGAAATCATAGGGAAGGTAAAGTAAACTGTTCATATAACCAGTATAATTAATTGATCTCATTATATTTTTCTATTTGTATGAATTCATCGGGATGGTTTATTTTTGAAATCGTATGAATACCGACTTTCGTTACATAAATCGCTTATTTTTGCATAAAAGATAAAGTATTATGCCTCATATTTCAGTATAATTGAGTACTAAATTATAGATCGATGATCATTCAAAAATATCACACGAAGATACATTTCCAAGAAACAGACACGGACGCCGCCATCTTGTTCGCTGCCATGCGCACGCAACGATTGTTCACTTACGCGCGATTCGCGATATGCGCGCTCTTACAGTGCCGCGGGTTTTGAACATGCGCGAGATCAGTCGCAGCATGCAATATTAATGCGTAACTGGCCAGCTTACTAGCGAGATCTACATGCTCAGGCTGCCTTTTGTTCGGATTACGGGAAGAATCAGTCGCTCAGGTCTCTTCGTTCGCGGGAGTTCTCTCTCTCTCTCTCATACATACACTCAGGAAGCGTTCCCTCCTTGTCTGCGGGAAAACAGCGTTCACTGATGCTTCCGCGTCCGAGCCCAGGAATCTCTGGTGACAAGAAGAGTACGTGTATAACGGAGAGCAGTCACTCTAACGCTATATCGAAAACAATCGCATGCAATAATTTTAATGTAAAGGCCTTCGAATCCGGGAATCCGTTCGAAAACGTCTGTTAATCAGAGAGATTACTCTGATACTATCGAAATAGCTCGCTCCTCTTCCCCTCGTATCACCGCGCGTCCTTCCTTTACCAGCCGGTAGGTGCTGCTCCCGCGGGCAGTACCATGATAAAGACGGGTGCGCGAATATAAGGTTGATTATTATACCACGTATATCAACTAAATCTATTACATATGGATATCCAGCCTGGAAATCCATATGGAATCCAGGTGGATTTTTGAAATGCAGATGGATTTTGTTTGTAAAAAAAATATTATTAAAAATGGTCTTCTGTTTAAAATTATAACTGTAAATACTTATTTGTTATATTAAATTGTTAAGAAACGACAACAAAAAAAGTTACCCGAACATGGTTCGAACCAGGTACCAATTGCTCCTCTAACCTCGCTCTATACCGTCTGATCTATTTTTTCATCTTGGCTTCAATAGTGTATTTCATATGTACACAGCAATACATACTTAATTCTCAAATTTATATTCCATTTTTGTAATTCTAAATTAGGATATTTCGGAAATTAGAGTTAATTGAGAGATTTCGACTTGGGGTTCGGAATTTAATATATAAAAAACGTTCGGAAACATATACTTTGTTTTTGGGTCAGAAGATTGACCTAATTGTGTTGTCATTCAATATTGTTGAAATCGCTCAAAATTATTATGGTGAACGTAGTGATATCACCATCTCTTTTTTTGAGTTTTTTACCGGATAAATATTTACATAGAAAATCTATAAACGGCCATTTTTGAACATACTTTCTCATAATTGATCGTATAGAAACAAAGTTTTAAACGTTAAATTTGCAACAGAATACCGCTGTTCTAAATTGCAAGACTCCATTTATCTCATACGTAGTGATAAATAAAAAACAGACTGAAAAAAACAGCTATTTCTAAAACTCGTAATTGTAACTGACATAAGGAACTTTATCCACAATCTCCTTTTCGAAAACAAAAATGATTGAATGTTGAAGAAATGTGTTTTTCGCGTTAAAAACTGAAGGTTCTGAAGCAAAGTTTTTACTCCAATAGAGAAAGTTGCGAATAGCTGGAGATTTATGCAAGAATCAAATCTAGATTTCCAATTTTCTCGTTTTGGCTTCAACGAAATATGTCATCTACATAGCTTATTTTCATCTCTTTAGTCTATTTGTATGTATTACTTAATTCTTCTGTGCAAAATCGTATGCAATCAATAACGTGATATCTGGTTCAAACCACGCTCGGCTAACTTTGTTTTTGTTATTTTTTAACATTGTAATAGAGCAAAGAAGTATTTAAAGTTATAATTTTACACAAAAGACCATTTGTAATAATATCTTTTTTATAAACAAAATCCATCTGGATTCCATATGGATTTCCAGGCCGGACAAAAATTGAGTACTTGAAACGAGATCTAATATATAAACCATTTGAAAAATAAATGATACCTAATCGTTTCTATTTCTTTCATTACAATAAAAAAACTTATAATATACTGTTTCAGCGTTGAATTTTAACAATAGATCCATAAGCAAGCAAATTTATACTCCAATCTGTCAAAAGAAAACTAAATCCAAAGCACCTTGGTCACCTGAGGCATGTAGTTCATTTAATAAATATTTCGCAGCTGCTTTGAGAGAAGATATGGCACAGCTACAGAAATAAGAAACGCTATGTCAAAATGCCAACTGTTAAAGGAAAGAGGAGAGAGCGCAATAAGAACGAGATTTTACAACTTGAAATTGAAGAAAAAACAAGGCAATCAAGAAAAATCAAAAATCAAAAGAGTTTCGTCGCATAGACACTTCTAAGAATTGAAAAAAAACTCATATTATATAACCATATTTAATCGTTTTTTCATCTAAAATTTGGATAAAATGTTCTAGCTTTTACTCACTTTTATTTCTGTTAAAGTGATATAAGATCCTGTAAGGTTCTTTAGTTTTTATATTTCGTTAAGTAACTTGTACGACAAATCATTCACTTTTTTATTATGATTAACTATATTAGATAATAACTGTACTTATATTTTAATTTAATTGATTAAAGATGTCCACCAAAGTTTACGTCATAATTAAATAATTAGTAAATAATAAGTACTACTACTGTTTTAAAAAAAAAGTTCCTATATAATGACAAATTAAGAAACACAAATAAGTGATATTAAATTAAAGGATTGCGTATAAATGAATATTTTCATTATTATTTATAGTTCTTCACAAAGCTTTACTATAAAAAAACCTGTCCTACTTAATAATTTTTAAACTAAATAATTTGAAACGTTTACTAGCTATTGTATTTATTTATTTAATAAAGAATACATTTGGAAAAAAATGTTGTTTGTTATTAAAATAAATTATTTGAATTAATCTTATGACCATTGACTCTAAATTAGATTATCTTCTGACACGTCGGTAGTGTAGAGTTCTTAGGACTCCGATATATGTGTTGGTATTAAGCGTGTGTTAAGGAAACAACATGATGTTTCGTCTAGCATATACGCGCCATGCGTGTACACCTCGGAGCAGAACGTGTTGTAGAAGGGAAAGGACTATTTGTTTATTGATTGGCGAACGGCTCGTTGACCGCACGCGCACACTGGTATACGCTGCGGAGCGTTGTTCACCCTAACACCTCTGTCTAGCCAAGGATGGGAAAGGGTATGACTTCTCGTGATCGTGGGCTCGTTCAGAACTCACACTGTTTGGCGAGCACCGCGGAGCAGCAACAATCCCAAAAGTCAGGCTAGATCAGAGTACCTACAAGCCCGCAACTCACATATTATATAACATTTGCACGTTACCAACTGCCACTTCACGAGAGTAATCCATCGAGCATCGGACTTAATCGTGATTTCTAATAAACATAGTAACTGATTTCTATTAAGTATCTTAATACTTGGCC